AGAAAACTACCAGAGAAATGAAGAGGGATGTGGTGGCGCTGCGGGTTAAACCGCAGAAGCCTCTGTGCTGCAAGGTCAGAAGACCAGCAGTCGTAAGATTGAATCCACGTAATGGATTGAGCTCCCGTTGCTTGTCCCAGCTCCTGCCAACCTAGCAGTTCGAAAGCATGTAAATGCAAGTAGATAAATATGTATCACCATGGTGGGAAGGTAATGGCGTTCTGTGTCTAGTCGCACTGGCCACCTGACCACAGAAACTGTCTACGGACAAAATGCTGGCTCTACGGCTTGGAGACGGGGATGAGCACCGCGCCCTAGAGTCAGACACTACTGGACTAAATGTCAAGGGGAACCTTTACCTTTACCTACCAGAGAAATGAAGGCAGATAATGAAAAAAACTCTAACAGAGTTGAAGAAAACCACAGAAGAGCTTAAAAAAGATTTTAAATCATTGGGGTTAAGAATTTAAAAGACTGAAAAGTTGGTGAAAATAAATGTAATACTGATCCATCAGCAGAAAGAAAGACTAGGTCAAATTAATAAGAAAATTATTGACATCAGAGACAGAAGTTGTGGGGTGAAATTGAGAATTTGCAGATTCCCGGAGGGAACAGATTCAGGAGTACAGGAGAAAAATTTTCGAGGTATAATTTTTGAATGGCTGAAAACAACAGTTCCAGAAGTATAATTGTGCTGGGAGGATATAGATAAGAGTGCATCATGCAGGGTGATATTCTGGCATTCACGAGGGTTATTGTGCTTGAGATTCACAAATTTTTATAAAAATAATTGTTCATGAATGGATTGAAAAGAAAGTCTGGACAGTTAAAGTATAAAAAGGAAGCTATTCAAATCTACCAAGATCTCTGAAACTGTACAATGGAGATGTGAAATGGCCCCTGTGAAGGTAGTGCTCATCATGAATAATATAAAATACAACTGTCTACATGAAGGTATTCTATAAAGGGAAGCACCATATAATAACTTTGGTGGAGCAAGGTGTGGATTTGTAGCATCTAAACAGAGCAAGAAGCTATAAAGATAGATGGAAAGAAAGAATCAGCTACAAGTTTGGAGCAAGAAGAGGAAGAAGAAGGATGTGGAGCAGGAGGGAGCTGTTGGTGGAATGTTAATGGATGATGTGATCAGAGTGGTGGAGGAGAGTCCAAGGGGTGAAACAGTTAACAAGAAGAAGAAATGAAAACGTGGAACATGGAGGAGAAGGAACTAATGTATCATTTAATGTTTGATTTAGGTTGAGGGAATATTATAGATTGGTATAGTGGCAATTTTGTAACATGTACTTTAAATAGATTTTGCAAATTAAGATGTAGGGGTGCAAAGGATATGGAGCGGCATGGAGAATCAAGAACTATAATGCTTGAAATAGTGAGTGGTTTCTCCCCCACCCCACCCCGCAATCATATAAGCGAGCAGTGGTCAGGGTGGTAGGATAGGAAGAGGGAGGAAATACAATTAAATGGGAGGAGGTCTATGTGTTAGGTTTAGATTTAGGAAAATAGTTAAAGTTTTGGGGATTTGTTATTATTAATTTTTGTTTTATTGGGGTAGGTTATCACACTATGGGACCAAAAGGAGATATTATGCTGAACTGGAAAGGTTAGGAACTTGAGTGTATTAATTTTGAATATCAAACGCTTGGGAAGTGTTTTAAAAAGGAAAAGAATTGAAACTTTGATAAATAAAGACAAAGCAGATATTGTTTTCCTACAGGAAACACATTAAAAAAGGAGGAGTAAATGGATTAAAACTGTTCTGGGCTGGATTTTATGAAAAATCATGTGGAAATTCAAGGTCAAGTGGGCAGGCATCATTATATTAATTAGAGACTGTGGTTGGTTTAAAAACTTGCAAAATATGCAAGTTAACACTGAGGAGTTAGTTTCTGTTGATATTCAGATGCATTCGATTGCTCACCTCTAACCATCCACAGTATTTTGATGGCATGTATACATGTATAAATATCTGCCATGTTACCGTGTTTCCTCGAAAATAAGACAGTGTCTTATATTAATGTTTGCTAAAAAAATGCATTAGGGCTTATTTTCAGGGAACAGGGTTTATCTCTCTTTTATGAGCGCGGAAGCAGATTGGTTCATGAAAGCTCACATTAAAACATAACAGTCTTTATGATGTTTTTGTCCTTTTTATTTGTTTTTCCTTCAATCTTTTTTTTTAATCTTCAAAGAAAAATAGCTAGACTTATAAAACCAGTATTCTCCCTTTGTTTATGTGTCACAAATGGCTATTGATTTGAGTTGCTCTGGTGTGGAACCTGGGTAACAATTGTTGCCAGGACTGTGGCCAAAATAAAGTGATTGAAGGAAAAAAAGAGGCACCATCATGTTGAAAGAACTGTAAGATTTGCAGAAATACAAGAAAGAAACTTGAGGAGACGCTCTTCCCCATCCCTGGCATAGGGTCAGGGTTGTGTCAGTTGGAAAATATGGGTAGAGTCTGTCAGGATTTGTTCCTAGCAAGTGGGTTAAATTTAATATTGTAGAGTAAATGTAAATCCATCTTGGATTTATAGTGCATAGTTCTTGGTTTAACTGTTTTTAAATTTGTAATGGCGCCCAGGTAGACCTTATGGTAGATGGGCGGGGTAGAAATCCAATAAAACCACTGAGTGGCGCAATGGTTAAAACGCTGTACTGCAGCTAAAACTGTGCTCACGACCTGGGGTTCAAATCCCAGGTAGCCGGCTCAAGGTTGACTCAGCCTTCCATCCTTCCGACGTCGGTAAAATGAGTATCCAGCTCGCTGGAGGGGCAATCTGTAGTCTGCATAATTAACTTGTAAACCGCCCAGAGAGTGCTTTAAGCACTATGGAGTGGCATATAAGCAGCACACTTTGCTTTTTAAAAAAATATGTCAGCCCTGTTTAGTTGTTAACACAAGAGGTGGGGAGTGCACTCTCCGCTCTGGCATCCCATTGCTCATGTGAAAACTTCCAGGTCTGAAAAGGAGAGCCTCCTTTACCTATGGAATCTCTCTACACGTGCCAGAATGGGGGAACATCGGGTTTTGGACTCAAGCAGAGAGCCAGGATGGATAGAAGAATTTTTCCTCTCCGGACTCACTGCTTTTCATGTAAACAAAGTCATGATGACCATGGGAGTCAGGCAACCTTGTTCCATCCTCTGTGCGGATCAAGTAAGAAGAATGCTTGAACAAGGCAAAACACAAGACAGTGGAAGACAGGAGGGCCTGGGGTGCTCTGGTCCATGGGGTCATGAAGAGTCGGACAGGACTTAATGACTAAACAACAACAAATGTAAAATGGATGACAAATGCAAAGTCATGCATTTGTCATCCATTTTACATTTGTTGTTGTTTAGCAAAGTCATGCTTGTAAAAGTCAATGTAAAATGGATGACTGATGGCATACAGATGGAACAAGCTTAGATAGTACTGCTTAACCATTTTCAGCTGTTTTGTCTATAGTGATAGGCTTCCCTTACTATATAAGTGGAAGAGTAGGAACAGCACATTGCGAAACAGTACTGAGTCTGGTGGTCTTTACTTCTTTAAATGTCTATGTTGCTTAAGAGGTTTATTTATTTATTTATTTAACTTATATTTATGCACAAGCCATGTATATAATGGCATGTATATATGTCTGATCAATGCTGTTATATGAAGTCTGAATATATTATGTCATAAGTTCTTATCAGACTCTCTGTGTTTTTCCTAAATCCTCCACGTCTTTATTCTGCTTATTAGAAGGGAGGATTTGAAGCTGCCTAATAAGTGACTGTGTTTAACCTGTTACCTTGGGCTCCAAGATTTGTTTTCACCAGCAGAGTGCTCTTGGAGTTTATATATCCAAATGCTGACTCCAGGCTTCTGGAGAGGCAAACACCACATCTGTTGTTGGAGTTGGCACCCAACCAACAGAGTCTTATATTCTGCTTGAAGACAGCAGCTGGCACACAGCATTCCTATTAGGAAGGATACACTGCAGCTTTTTCTTCCAGGTTTCGTTTGTTGGTTAATGTTGTTCGTGTGAACAAACTGGAATTGAAAATGAATTCTGCAGCTCCTATTTCAGATGAGCATGGGTGGGAATTTCAACACTGTATCTTTCGCAGCCTGATAAATAAGACAAGGAATGAAGTGTCAAAGCATTTGCATCTGGTCAGGATTTTTAACATTTGGTCAGTGGGCACATTCTTTTAATATTGAGAAAGCATAGATACTGTGCTTTAATTGCAGTTAAAGTGGGTATAATTGGTCACAATACTACACAATACTAGCTCACAATGCTACAAACTAGTAGGCAGAAAATAAACCTGCATAGAAACCCTCCACAAGTCACCTACACAACACAGAGAGTTTGGAGACACACAGGTAGAATGCCTGCTCACTACCCTTCCAGGCTATGTGCTGGAGTCTTCTCAGTCTCTGCCCTTTCTACTATGTGCTGGCTCCCACCACTCCAGCTCACTCAACCATCACCTTGATTTCCAGGTAGAAGTACTATTTTCCCTTTTTTGGTGATGAGATGTATCTGCCATAGCCATCCACCATTCCCTGAGCATAACATTGTGCCCAGAAGCACTTATTGAAGCTGAAGACAACAGTAGTTGCAAGCTCTAACTATGATTTGAAACAACTCCAACTGCCAGGAAAACATAGATTTCCTTCCTTTAGGTAAAAAGAAATCAGGCACCAGTGGAAATGTTTTGGGAGGGGGTCATTGTCAATTCTTTGTTACAGTTGATGGGTAGCTGTGTATATTACCCAATAAAAGAGGATGACATAAATGTTAATTTCCACTGTTTTGCTGTTACATGTTTGATCTCCGTATTTCAGTACTGCTAATTTATGTCGTTGATACAATTATGTATTCTACAGTTACACATTATCTTCTGCCTTTAGATACATTTTATTTAACTTATTTTTTCTTGCTGCTTTTAATACTAAACTTGAATAATACCTAATCTTCAACCTGTATTTGTTTCTATTTTATTAGGCTTCGAGAACAGGAAAGGAAAGAGTCAGAAGAAGCTAGTCACAAAGAAATTGAAGAATGGGAGAGAGCCCTTCTATCTCAAGCAGCACCTACACGGATGGAAAACATGTGGGAAATTCCAGCAATTGGCCATTTCCTTTGTTTAGCACAAAATATTCTAAACTTGCCTGAAATAGTTTTTTATGAGTTGGAGCGCTGCCTTTTGATGCCCCAATGTAGTGCTTTTTTGTCTAAAATAATGACTTCTTTGTTAAGCCCTCCTCATCGAAGGTCTACCTTACATCGAAGGCCAACTCTCCCTTATAAAACTTGGGAAGCAGCACTTAGACAAAAAGTACAACAGTGGTATACAGCTGTAGGGCAAACTGACAATCCTGATAGTTGTGCAGAAAAGCTTGGTCTTTGTCCTCAGTTTTTTAAAGTGCTTGGAGAAGCTAATCCTTTGGAGGAAAAACCCTTTCATGAGCTCCCATTTTGTCAAAAGGTATGGTTGCTAAAAGGCCTCTGTGACTTTGTATATGAGACCCAAAAGGATGTACAAGATGCCGTACTTGGCCAGCCGATCCATGAATGCAGGGAAGTGATTCTAGGTTATGATTACTTAGAGCACGCCTATGTTCATTTCCCACAATTCTGTGGTGCAGATGTACGGATTTACAAACAAAAGCCTTTTCATGCCCCTGAGTTTCCAGTTCCTCTCATTAGGGTTAAAAGAGTACCAAGGATTAAATTAGAGAAAGTGAAATGTGAATATGCCACCAAAAGCAATGGTGGTAGTGCTAAAGATGACTTTGCATCTCAAACAAGGGTAGAACCTGGAAAACCTGGTTCAGCAAGAATCCAGTCTGAGCTCTTGAATGTTGTGGCAGAAAAAGAAATGAAATCCAGCTGTGAAGAAAAAATTCAGAATGACTGTAACTTTATAACAGACTGCTGTAAAGAAAATCTAGATAAGGCAATTGTTCCAGAAGAGCATAATGGTTTGGGTGAGCCTCTTAGCCCAGGAGAAGTTCGGATTGTGGAAAATGGAGAAAAATGTGTCGAATCTTCAACAGTGAAAACAGAGACCACCCCTTTAAAGGAGAACAATCTTAAAATGTGTCTGATGAATGTGAATGGGAATCACAGTGATAGTCCAGATGTGAATTGCCACAGAGTTCCTAAAGAGGTGACCTCAGAGCATTCTATAGGAAAAAAAACACTAAAGTTTAGTAAATTGCGAGCGAAGAAGAAGAAGAAAAAAAAGAAGCTGAAAGAAATTTTGAATGAAAATCTTCAGAGAAAGCGTGAGATTCACCTCCACTCATTGAAATCTTACAAACCTGAGATACAAAATAAGTTGCTCATGATGAAAAAGAAAGCCAAACACAAGAAGCACAAATCTGGTAAGGTGATTTTAGTGGGAAATTAGTCTGAACAATTCGTGTATTTATTTGCAGATCTGGTTGCCATGTACTTAAACAGCTTGTTTATTTATTAATTAATTACATTTGTGAATCTCCTTTATTTTCAGGCTGAGAGATTGGCTGGCCCAAGGTCACCCAGTGAGTTTCACAGCTCAGTCAGGACTAAAATGTGGATCTCCAGTCCAACAATGTGTCATAACTGCTACATCATATATTTGATGGTGGATTATTTAAAAGCTATTTCTGGATCTTATGTAGTTGAATTTTTCTAGCCCTGATTATATGTTGTAGCAATAGCCATTGCAAAAAGATTGGACTGCTTATAGAAGGGGGTGGGAACTGGTAGTCCTCAAGATCTGACGGTAGACTGTTACTGTGGAAGTCTTAACTTCAGATTGCACAATGTTACTTATGGGAATCTCTGATTTCCCTACCAGGCAAATAGTAACATAGAGAAATGTGTGTTGTTTAGACTGGGAACTGGTGCAGAAAGAAGATGTGTCAATTTAAAATGCTTGTGGATCTAGTCCACAAGCATTTTAGATTCAAAACAACACTAATACTACAAGAGATTAGGCATCTAACATACTTGGCCCTTAAAAACAAATAGTGTGCTAGATACTATATAGGACATTAATTTTTCCTCATCTTTCTCTGTTGTAGATTTCTCTTTGTCTCAGAGCCTTTGATGTGTTAAATAAACTCAGCCCATCTTGCTAAATGTAAGCATAGCTCAGCTCTTACTATTTTCCTCTGGTACCTTTTGCCTGAAGGTCTGCATGCAGCTTTAACCACCCTTGCATTTCTCTTGGTACTTTGGGGAGTACTGTACATTATTTTAGCATAGTCTGAGCTAAATTCAACATTAGTGGTACTCAGAGTAAATCTGTTGAAATCAGTGGGTGTGTAAGTTAGTTTTGATGATACATTCCATTTATTTCATTGTACTGTCAGCAAATAGGCCTAGTATTATTTTTAGCCCTTATCGCATTTAATTGCTTGTTTTTATGGACATCAAACTTAAATAAGGGCTTGTTTACATGGGCTCATTGAAGTGAGTTAAATAGTGTGTCTAGAGATTGAGATCCTCACATCCAAATGACATGCTGGAACCCAAGCAACGCTTTTTGGTCCTGCTCCTTCCACTGTCAATTTCCCATATTGTTATGTAAGAAAAGAGCTACTGCATTTTTTTGTGTATAAGACACTACTTTTTCCTAAAATTGACTAAAAATTGAGGGCCATCTTATACATGGAAGTAAGCTGAGCCGAAAACAAAACGGTCCATAACTTGCCTCTGCAAACAGGCATTCTTCAATCATGAGGCTTAGCTGCCTCCACTCAGGAGACTTAGCTTTGTCCATTCATGAGCCTTATGTAACTGAGGCTCTGTTGATGCTGAACAAACCAATTGCAACAGTGCTCAGATGCAACAGGGACTTCTAATGTCTGAGCATTCTGAGCCCAGAGGCTAAATACAGTTAAAATGTGATGCATAATATGACATTACTGGTATGTACATGTTACGTAATTACTAAATAAAAATGAGGCCTGTTCTGCATTTAAAATATTGATTTCATAATTTTGGGTTAGAAAAATAGGGGTGTCTTATATATGGGGCATCTTGTACAGTGGTGCCTCGACTTACAAACATCCTGACTTACGACTGTTTCGAGTTACAACCAGCTCCAGCCGCAAAATTTTGCTTCAACTTGCTGCGGCAGCTTCCAGTTACTTAAAAAAAAAAAAAGGCAGGGAAAAGGGGCGGGAAATTCAAATTGCTAACCATTAGTAGGCGAAGAGGCTGCTTCTTTGCAGCTCTTTCGCCTCAACTGTTAGAGTGAGTGAGATCGGAGGAGGCTTGGGACTGCCTGGTAAGGTAAGGTGCTGCTTATTGCTTTTTACATACTGTTCTGGGTAGGTTTTGCAAGGCGGGTTTGGGCTGGTGGGGTTATGTTTCTGTGCTGTGTTGTTTTTTTTGTTTTTTTGTTTGTTTTTTGCAGTCCCAGCGTGGGGCTTACTCTGTTGTTGTTTTTTGTTTGTTTGTTTTTTCAGCCCCAGCTCGTTCCTACAGGGCTTGCTCTGTTGTTTATTTTTGGTTTTTTTTTTAAAGCCCCAGTACCTTCGGGGCTTGCTCCATTTATTTTTGGGTTTTGTTTTTGTTTTTTTTAAAGCCCCAGTGCCTTCGAGACTTGTTCCATTTATTTATTTATTTATTTATTTATTTATTTATTTGTTTGTTTGTTTGTTTATTGCCACCCCAGCATGTTCCTATGGGGCTTGCAGTGTTTATTTTTGAGGTTTTTTTCAGCTGGAACGAATTAATCGCGTTCCAATGCATTTCAGTGGGAAATGGTGCTTCGATTTAACGACCATTTTGAGTTACATCCATCTTCTGGAACGGATTATGGTTATAAATTGAGGCACCACCGTACACGGAAAATTATGGCACTTCACAATATTGGCAAATTTAAAATTCTGCTCTGTGGAGGGATAGAAGAAGTTTCTTTTTTTAAAAAAGATAGGCTGTATTACGTAAAGGTAAAGGTTTCTCTTGACAATTTGTCCAGTCATGTTTGACTCTAGGGGGCGGTGCTCATCCCAGGCCATAGAACCAGCGCTTGTTCATGGACAGTTTCTGTGGTCACGTGGCCAGCATGACTAGACATAGAACACCGTTACCTTCCCACTGTAGTGGTACTTATTTATCTACTCACATTTTACATGTTTTCGAACTGCTAGGTTGGCAGGAGGCTGTATTAGAGCAGTACTAATGCACTGTATCTTTTACTTTAAAAATTTAAAATAGAAAAACATTATCCCAGAAGCAGGAGAAGATAGGAGGGGCAACAGTGGTGGACTCAGCTGCAGACAGGTTCTTGACCTGACCCTTAATGTTTTAAGGGGGGGGAATCCCCTGCATTGCCACCTCCTGTCTCTTTCCACTTCTGGGAGGAAGTTTTCTTTTTTAAAAAAATTATGCAGTGCATCAGTACTAACCTAATATAGTTCTCTGCCCCTTCAAAAAGCAGAGAAAAGAAGAGACAAGAAGAATCAGAGAGCCTAGTAAATATTTTACTTCAGAAGAGCCCCAGAAATGCTTTATGTAGAGATGGGTACTTCACATTCGTAAATGAATATGAAGCCTGCCAGCACAGATGGCTGACCCGATTACCTCCCACCTCCAGAATCTGTGCGTAACCAGCGTCATTGTCAGTGTGTCAATCATAGCAGTAGCCCGGCTGCCACGTCTACGTCTGCCTGCTCATCTGGCCACTCTGTCAAGGGGTCAGGATGAGTCTCCCATCTCGGTTGCACATTGGCAGGACAAACAGGGAGATGGGGCTGCAGCAGCCAGGCTACTGCTCCAATTGTCCCACTGACAATGACATTGGCCATGTGCAACGCACTGTAGGTGGACCGGCAGGTTCTGGGGGCGGGAGGTAATTGAGCTGGCCACCTGTACAAGTGGGTGTTGTGTTCACCTATAAATATGAAGCATTCATCTCTGTTTAAATGTGTGTGTTTTTATCTGTTTTATTTATTTATTTATTTA